ACTTGGCTTATCTTCCTTATTGGTAACTAGAAAATTTAATATCAGGTGCTGAGTTTGACTGGTTTAGTAAATGGCTTGGTTAGTTGGTATTAAAGATTTTCTATGTCTAAGTTGGCCTCTCAACCATTGAGTAGTGGGGACCTCCCACCAAGCAAAATTGTCAAGCTCTATACATTCAGCTTGACAATGGTTGAGGCTTGCCCTCAAGACTTGGAAGCCAAACAATTTTTTTTTTTTTTTTTTTTTTTTTTTTTTTTTTAAACTTATGGAGGGCCCAATGACTACTCTACTTCCAAAGCTTTAAAGTAAGGTTCTGATTCACTTGGTGACTTTCCATCCATATAATGGAAAGGGGAGCTTTCAATCTGAAGCCCATTAACTGCTTGACAGATGCAATCCACCTGGTGCACCACCACCTATTGAGGTTGAAGTACTGTTGATTCTTGCACTCCATCTTTTGTTTTATAACTTGCTTGAATGCCTATATTCATCTGCCAGTGTTACCTTGTAAACAGGCTGGCTGCTAACGCATTTGCTTGCAAGCAGAACTGGGGTATACAAAGAGATGTAAGTGGCTGAGCACTTTTCCCACAGAAGCAGCTTTTGTGTGGGGATAGAGGAAATGAGATGGGGGAGGAGAAGGAGGGGTTCAGGCACACTTAAGGAAATGGCCTTGCACTCTGATGTCCAGACCTGAGTTTGACGTGTAGAAACGGTGTGCAGCTGAAGTCTCACAAGGTCACCATTTATTTTAAATAAATCCAGGTTCAACAATCACCTGTTATGACAGGAATGATTTCATACAGTATCTTGTGATCAAATCAAGAATTTTAAGGAACACTTGTTTTTGCCCATGCTTGCCTATTAAAAACATGGCCAAAATGTTAGTGTCATGCAAAGATTACATTTGTATACTGCACCCTCTCTTTGTAAATCTGTGGCACATCATTGTTCCAGTCAAAAAGCAAAGGAAAAAGCTAACTGATCCAGCTAAAGTTGCTGAGTGTGTGTGCATTGCGTGTTGAATGTCAGAGATACCGTGCTTTCTGGTGTCCGTCCTGCTCTCCCATTGTTTCTCTGCATTTTCCCAGCCATGGCTGCATGGAAGCCCATTTTTGGCATGGTGAATGGAAGGAAATGGGCATCGTCAGATACCCAGCATTGAAGGAAAATGTTTAACGAAATGCAGTTCTTTTTTGCTTATTGCTTAAATGTCCATCCAAAAATATTTAGATACAAAATAGGTTAAGACGTAGCTTGAATGTTTTGAATGTCCCACTTTTTGCCTACATGACTTCAAAATCTGATTATGCAATCGCCTATATAACTTGCATGGCTTTGTTTACATAATATCCCTAAAACTTCGGTGCGACCTTGGTCTTAAGATAGAACATGTAACAGCTGTGGAAGTACAAGATCTTGATATATATATATATTACTTATTACTTATTAATATATATATTACCTGGATGTTTACTTGCATTGTTCTGTACACATATTCACTTTAAGTTTTGATTTGTTTGCATGTCATCGTCTTCAGTTTCTATTTGCATTTCTACCTCACTACATCTACTTTCCATAACTCAGTGGTGCTAACTAACACATATATTTTAAGAGGGCAGAAGAAAAAGCAGAGTGCTAACCTGCAGGACTTCCTACAAGAAATTGTTAAAATGAATAATTCACCATTCCTCTCAAAGTTTCCACACACATTAAAACTGTTCTCTTCCCCCTTACACATACAAAATCCCTTCTTTCCTACAATACTATAAATGATAAATGGTTAGGATTGGAATTGTTGCAAATGCTTGGGTCTAAATGTTTCCACATAAATAGTTACCGTCACAAAAACCCACATAGTTTTGACTTGCACATTTGAGTATTTATAAGAACTCTGCCTTTACCAGAAAACAGAAACCTAGGGAAACATTAGTTTCTTGAAACTTACAACAGTGGTTTGTTACTACAATATTTCAGGCGTGGAAAAGCACAACAGTTTTCAAAAAGAAAATTGTGAAAATGTTCATCCTTTTTCAACTAGAGACTGTGAATCAGATGTGACTGAGTCTGCTACGTTGACTCCTGGGTGCTTTGATTAGGCTATAAATCCACCCTTGTGTTTATGCCAGACGCCAAAGGGTTAACAACAGGGCAGTCATTAAAACCATGACCCCCGACAGGCAAGGGGCGGGAAATAGAACTAGAGTGAAGGAGAGAAAGAGTTCAATTGAGAAATGAGGCAGATTATTTATATAATCCATCCTCCAGCTCTTTCAGTGGTTATATTAAAATTCAATCAATTATATCTTCACAAAAAAAAACAGTCTGTGTGTGTGACAGTGTGTGACAGAGAGTGAATCCATGTGCACGGACACGCAAGGAGCATGAGGCCCTGTCCAAGGCTGTTATATCAAGATTAGCAGCAGGAAGATTGTAATGAGGAACTGCCGGGGCAAATTTCAGTGGTTTTGCTTCCAAAAGAGTCTTTTACCTTCCTATCACAGAGTGTGCATTGTGTGTCGCCCCCCCATTGTGGAAATGAGGAACTCTCTCTGACATTTGATCACGGTCATCCTCTGAACTGCATGCAGTGCTCACAACATTTCTCCAAAAAATGTAGAAGAGTGATGCCCCAACAAAAAAAAACAAAAAAACATTTGATCTTAAAATCAAACTAAATTTTCATGCAGATAATTTTGCTTTAGAGAATCACTCACCGAATATGAGGCAGAATATTTTTGTTATTCCCTGCATACATGTGCAAGTGTGTGCCTCAAAGATAAAACTCTCAGGCCTCTTAACTGTGTGCTTGTGATCACAGCTTGAACAGCTGGTAAGGAGAGATATAAAAAGTTGTTGACTACAACAGCTGTGGAGGAACACGGCCACAAGCAGAGCCATGCAGACCCGTAGGTCCAAAAAACACAGGGAGAGAAAACACTGGTGAAAAAATATCAACAAACGCCACCTCCTTCCTCTTTTTATGCACTCCTGCAGGATATGTCTTTCATCCCTCTTTCAATTTATCCCCATCTCCGTCCTTCTTTTGTGCTTGTCATCTCCTCTCACCGATGTGAAAATACACAGGAAACTTTTACCACAATGGGACTTTTCACACATCTCTTGCACTTTGGGGGTTTGAATGTTCACTGGAGGTGTATTTCTCATGGGAGTGGACTGCAGTTTACCCCTTACATACACTCTCCCAAATGACTCCTGACAGATACTTCATTCAGCTCGGCTGGCAGTGATTGGGCCAAAGCAAGCCTGCACTTTGTAACTTTGTAACTGTTTCACGGAAGGCCAGCCATCATCCTTTGATGAATGGCTGGACATCACGCTATTTGGATTCCATTCAAGCCCCTGATGTATGAAGTGCCTGGTACTGAGAGGTTGACGTGAGGCAGCAAAGCTGTTTCATATTTATAAGCCAAGGTTGAGTGTGGCTGGGAGGTTTGTGCAAGGCTTTTGGTGGTTTGGGGTGTCAGAGTGGCAGGGTTAAGACTCCAGTCAGCCATTATGCTCCTCTTTAAATCCTTCTCTCTACTGTAATGAAAAACAGATCCTTGCTATCTCCACCTCAAGCTGCAGAGCCACGGAAAGAACGCTGTTGAGTCCTGTTTCATTTTTACTTTCTGTCTCTTGTTTCACTCGTCTTTTTAGATCATTCTCTAACTGTCACACATCCGTGTAAACACTAAACGCCAAATGGCCTCTTTCGTCTTTGTCTATGTGTAATGGCTCTAACTGGTCCCTGGTCTATAGACGAGGCTTCAAACAAGGACTAGATTAATGAGTATGCATGGTAGTGCCCCTCGCTGGAAGCTGCAGGCGCACAGAGCTCAACTCCAGATGCTGCCCGGGTTGCCACATCCTGACCGTTATCCCCCTGCAGTGCTGCGTTCACTTGTGAGTGTGCACGGCCCTGAATGGGAACCACCTGTGACAGAGCAGAAAGGCTCGAGGTGATTTTCCATTCCATGTTACTTTTTTATTTAGATTAATCATATAGTGTTGCAGGGGCTTTTCTTTTTCAAAAAAGGACATTTTATTTACAGTGGATCACCATTTAGATCTTTTCCCATTAAACTGAGCCAGGCTTCACTGTACCCGCATGTTTATCCATGTTATTTATTCCATCATCTTGTTTGAGTGCATTTGAGTTTGTTTATACCCATTGATGCCTGCTGTGTTTAGTTTGCTGTCAGCTCTAATGCTCTTAAAAAACTAGACATTTTATGTTTGCAAATGAAATGTCACTTTTTCCAAATCTGCCCTGCTGACGCAGCTTGAAAATGTAAAACATCAGCTGAACCGTGAACTTGATTCCAGTGATAACCAGCATGGGGGCTTCTCCATACAGCCGCAGGCTAGCAAGGCATCTCTGAAACACCTCTGCATTCCAGCAGCACCAACAGTCATTTTTCATTTAGCGTGATAGGACAATGGGGGGGTGAGAGTTACCTATATCTGTGAACTTTGTGTCACGCATTCAGGATGGAAAGGTGCTGTGTTGTAAAGCATAAGTCAGGACCATCAGGATAGGATTACAAGATTAGAGCTGCAGACCTGGGGATATGCTCACCTTCTTGTGAGCCTGTCGATTGAGTCTTTCATTCACTAATCCATACTGAATACACCCGCTGTCACCTGGGGCATGGTTATCACCCATCTTCTGCATGACCTAGCTCATATGAACGAACAAATGCGAGGGGTTTGGTGTGTGTGTGTGTTGGGATGAAAATGGGTAGAGGGGGACACAGAGGGGCTTACAGAGGACGGCTTTTTGTTTGAGTTACTGCTGCGTGCAGGGATGACTGACAAAGTCAGTGGACCATATGAGCTGCAGACAGTCATGACCAAGAGCTAAACATGACGGATGGGTTCACCGACATATAGGAAAAAGGAGAAAAAGCGAGCCTGGAGAAAGCTTTCCGAAACAGCCGGAGAATTGGCTCCACGGCCTTTTCATCACTTGTGCTGATATTTTTCAACTATCTTTTTAGAAGTTTTTGGCCTTTGGCCACCATGCAAACATAATTTTAACTTACTTGGAAATAATCTTTCTGAAAATTCCTCCCAGGGAAAAGATACTCAAAAACTCTGTTTTTCTGTTTTCATAAAGAAGCAGTATTTGGAAAGAAGCATGGAAATCTTCCCTAACTGATCGTGTCCCCAGAATTAGTCAGTGAAGCAGCCAGATGTCACCGTTCTACACCAGTACGTAGCACATTTATAATCAATGTACGGTGAGAACTTTCAGTGTTTTCAAAGGCAACATATATATTGTATCATATATTTTATGGAAACCTTTTACAAAGTAGTTTATTTTGGTACTGAAATGTGATCGGACAAAGATAGTGGTTCCACAGGGTTAAATTTTGAAGCCTCCTTTTTCTTCAATATTGACATACTTTCACAAGCTCAGATTAGACGAAGCCACAATGCATGCTGTCACAGTTATGCAAACAACAAATACATTTACATAACCCCAAAGGATCATAATCCCACACAAACACTTACTAAATTCCATGAATAAGTAAATAGCTGGATGGTCCATCATGTTTTTCATTTAAGAGATACAAAACAGACATCATTATCTTTGGACCAAACACAACTTTAAATATATGTGTGATTAAATTTCAGCCTGTAAAGCTGAAAACTGCAAACCAATCCAGAAATCTGTGTGTTATTATGGAATCAGAGTCAGTTATGAAGTCACCCTACCATCAACTGAAGAATATTTTAGGTATTAAAGGACTAATGTGTCAAAATGATTTTGAAAAGCTGCTCCATGAAATATTCTTGTGTAGATTTGATTAACTTAATTAGTACAATGTGCATGAGATCAATCAGACAGCTGCAGCTACTTTAGAAAGCTGCTGCTGAGGCTCTGATTGAGAACAGAAAAAACATATGAATTCCATCCTGATGTTTCTACACTGATTACTGTCCATCAAAGAAACTGAATGGAATACTGCTGTTTGTTAATGAAGCTTTATATGGTTATATGGTTTTTATGGTTAGATATTTTGGAATGCTATTAATCATCCACATGTCAGGTTTTCTTTAAGTCTAGTCAGAGCTAGATGTGGAGAAGCTGGCATTCATTTTAAGGCTTTGTGTAGAACAGCCTGTCAGATATCTGCAGCTGCGCATCATGTCTTTTTTTTTTCCTTTTAGATTCATTCTGAAGACTTTCCTGCTTACAAATTCAAGTTACAAATGAACTGATTAAATTAAACTAAAGAACTTTGATTGATTAATTATTTTAACTGTGTTCTACCTCTCTTTCTTTTTATTTTGAGAAATTGACTTGGTGACAATAGTTGTTTTGCAAATAATCTCAGAGTATTTCACACACCTCTGCATTCATTTTCTTCTTTTTAAAAATAAACTCCTTTCGTTCACACCATACTTTACAGTGTTAATAATAATAAGTAATGTTCATGTTAAAAAAAGCTCAGAAGGTGACTACTGAGCTAGTATATCTAAAAGAACCTCCACAACTTGAGCCTGGCTGAGTTGGACCTGCTTTCACACCTAAAACAAGCCTGCTGTTGCCAGTGTGGGACACTGATTGGTTTGGGACACAAACAAATACCCTGGCCAGATGTTTCTCCTGTGATTGTGATTTAATGAGAGTCCAGCTGCCTTGCAAGGTAATTATTAATTCTATTGTAAGCATTGTTTCCACCCACAGGATGCTCCAAAAAATCCCACCGTAGCTAAGCTACCAGTGTCTCAAACAGCTGAAGTTATCTAATGGAGGCTAAACTCACATGTGAGTCAAAATGTTAAAAGAATCCATTTGGTTTCATTGTTAAGATGAGAACATCTTGGCTGTGCGACAGGAAATAGGAACTGTCAGATGAGCTTCAGGCAGTGTTTGAAGCATATCTCATGAGAACCCCTGAACAAACTAATGTTAGCTGGCTTGCAAACTTAAAGCTTTTTAAATCAGATATAGTTTTGGGGTGTACACTATTGTTTAATTCCTAACTTACATTAACTTAGAATGTCAGATTTAGAATAACAAAAAAGCAAATCCTTAGTATGTTTAGTAATAGCTTTTAAAAATCTCATAATAGTTCAGTGTATCTTATTTTCATTGGCTTAATACGATGAATTAAAAAATATATTGCCGAATACGGCCTTTAGAAAGAATTCCACAGAACCCCTTTACACAAAGTTTGAGTATTCTCACTTTATTGGCAGGTGAGCTGTTCTAAAGTCATCCACATTCACAGGTTGGTGTAAATAACATTATATCCATGAGGAATGTCATTATTTCTCCATTTTCTCAAGAGGAACACATTCTCCCTGCCAAATATATAGCTGCATGACCAGACCCCAGACAGACTCTGAAGGTTAACTCATAAAATTAAAATAAAATTAAAATAAAAAAGCCATAAAAGAAATGACTGCCAACCTTTAGTTCTTCCTAAAGGTTTACTGGTTTCCCTCTCTCATGTTTGCATAGCCATGTACACAGGCCTTTCACTGTGTGAAAGATAATAAATGAATAAATGATTGAGTGAAAAATGAGTGAGGTTAGAGAGGGGATCTGAAGGAATGTGAGGGAGTACAAAAATCCTTGAGGGCGCCTCTGAGAAGGAGGGGAGGTCGACTGGTAACAATGCGGCTGAGAAAGGGCTTGAGAGGGACCCCTCTGAATGGGCATTTGCACTAAAATAGATGGTGTCTGTCAGACCCACCACCATGACGCAGACCTCGACTACAATAGCAGAAGCAGGCATTTGAATGAACTTCAGCTATTTTTCCTCACGTGTTTACCTCCGTTTTTTCATCGAAACCCCCGCATGCACCACAGTTACGCCTACAGGGCTTTTCGTGTCGCTGCCCACATATCGAATTAATTAATTAATCAGCCTACGTTTGGTTTATCTAGCCTATACAGCACAAATTCTTTGACTTAATTAATTAAGTTGATGAGCTTCTGCTGGAAATACTGAAGGGGGAGAAGCGTAAGAAAGAGCAATAAAGGAGGTGCATTCTGCTCCTGACCTGGCAGACATCCAGGAGGTGAAGGATGGTCAGTTCCAGTGAGAGGATCTTTGTATTAGAAGTGGAGTTGCAATTGAAATTTCTGAGGTTATTTGATACTTGACCACTTGAGGTCAGAAGGAAACAGAGGCTTGTTGGGGAATGTGATGGTCAGGTTAGCATATTTGTGATCTCATTGTTCTGGTTCAGTTGTTATTCTATTTACTCTTGTTTCCTGTTTTACTTTGTAAAGAGTGTGGGGTTTTAGTTCTTGTTTAACACCAAAATTAGTTTTGGAAATTGCCAGCATCTGACTTTTATAAGTTACATGTTTCTTTCCTCGTGTTTGTCTTGGTCTTTTCGTACTACCAGATTCTTGTCATTCATTTTTTTGTACCTTTACAAACTCATCCAGTCCTCGACCTTAACTTTAGATCTGTTCATTTTTTGGTTTGTTTCCCAGCTTTGTTAGATCTCCTAGCTTTGCAGTGCTGTGTGTTTGTTTTAAAATGAGTCTAGTCCCTAATCATCCTGCCTCCTGCATCCAAACCCATGTTTGGGTCCTTCAATACTTTGTAACAGAGGAGTATCACAGGAGCGTACCAGTCTGGCCTTTAGGCTGCTGTTATTTATTGACTTTCTTCTCTATGTTTCTGCACTGTTTTATTATACACTAAAAATCCTTAATTAAGATGAGGAAAACCTCACCCGAGTGAAAAACTCACAATAAAGTGGTTTGAAATACAGAAAGCTTTTCCCACTCTTTTCACGCTGCCACATAAGATTCCAGCTCTGTCGGGATCATCCTTGGAAAAGTCCTACATGTCTCACAGGGATTCGTTGGGGGCACCAAATCATTTCTAAGTAGTCATTCATAAACACAAATAGCTGTTTTGATGTTTTTGGGGCAAATATGTAAATTGAAGCCATTGGAAGTTACTCCTACAACACTCGAAATACCTGGACTGGGAGGGAGCAGGCAGATAAGATCAAAGTGTTGTCCCTTTTGTGCTCTGCTTTATTCTAACCTGGGAGAAGTATTTTGATCGAGGTATTCAACCTTAAAACCAGCTGGCTGAGCATGGATAGTTTAGTTGCCTTACTATTATTCTTTTCTCATACATGATTAGAAGTATTTTAATCCAAGAAATAGCAGCCAAATCAAACAAACTTATGTTTGAACATGGGCGCCTAGTTTACATTTCACTATTCTCATGGATAGTAAAAAAAGACGAAAAAAAAAGTTCGCTCTGCATCATTAGCCAAACTGAAAAACAACTTTTTTAGTCACAGCACAGTTTACAATTATCACATCATAACTTATTAAAACATCTGCATGCTGTTTTACACAGATCTGAGTCCAGAGTTGAAAGATAAACTTTAATTACAGATGCTGTACAGAAGTTGTACATCTTGGCACTTGTGGCCGAGGCAATAGAGCGCACCACCCCAAATCACAAGCTTTCACTTCAAGCCCATAGCTCTAAACATGGCACGCAGTGGCAACTTCTGATCAGCGTATGGCTCCGCCTAAACACTGTAATTTAGCCTTAAACTGTTTACACATTTAACTGGCAGGAAATTCAAAGGTTGTAAATCAGTTTAAGCCTCGTGTTTATGGTTAGCAAGGGCTGTTAGGGTTTGGCTTACTTGTACTTAAGACAGTACAACATCAGACTTTAATATTGACAGAACGTGCTTCATCAGTTTGTACTTCCCTGCTCCTTGTAGAGAGAGCACACGCTGTAGCATTCCATCAAGGCGACAGGGGACCAAATAAATAGCTGACGTATTAAAGGCTAGGACAGCAAAAATAATGTATTTTGAAAGTTGTGTAGTCACAATAAAATGGTTGATAAAATGCGCAAGGAAAATGGACAACATTTTGAATCATGACTGACAATAAACTTTGAATGTGACCATCAATCAGAGCAGCTTTTCCCAATCAGTAAAACACTGTATCATTACCTTCATCCAAATATTCAATATTTAATTCATGCTAAATGTTAGTTGATTGTAATCCACTTTTTTGTGCACGTTTGTTTCAGGGCTTATGCTTTGTTCTAAACATACCTGAGGTAATCCTGCCACAAAAGCAAAAGTTTGGTCTTTTTTTTTCCGTGGGCGGTAGTCCATTCTCAAAGACTATGACACACACCCACACCCCTGCTGTTCCCACTCCGCCCCCCCATGTGAATGAGGACTGCAGAATAGAGGTTGGCAGCAGTCTGCGGGGATACGGATGCTTATCAGAAAGGCTTACAAATCCCCCTCGATGCTCCTGATACGGAGGACAATGGGTATGCGTGTGTAGTGGGAGCTTTCTTAAAGCCTCATTGAAACTGACTTCACTTCTTTGCTCTTTAATGAGGTCAGAGTAGCCTGCTGACTGTATTCCACCATTGAATACAAAGCGGACAGTCATAATAAACTTATGAAGTCCAATGACCTGTGCAAGCCCTATCGCTTTTTTAAATAAGGAAATGTACTGAACATGCTGAACCCTACTGCTGAATTACTTCAGCCGCTGCACATCACATCAAAGAAATCATTTCCCCCAGAATTTGATCAAAGTATATTAGCCTGATGTGGCTAAAAAAACACTCTCCATCACTGCATTCCTAACGCAAATGCCAGAGTTGTTTCTTCCTTTTGTGATCCTGTCTTTGTATTGAACTTGGGGTTAATTGCCCCGGTGGAAGCAGCTGTGAGGCCACCAGAGTTGCAGGTGAGCTTTCAGCGGCTCTCAGTAAACACACCAGCCTCCCACACAGCTTTGTGCAGCTTCCAAAGAATGTTCTGAAAATGAGACTGAAAGAGGTTCAAATGACAATGAAACAACAAAGCTTGCGCATGCAGCTCTACTCTGATTATTTTGGCCTTTAACTCGTTCTGGTAGTTCTAAAAGGTTTTAGGTAATGGAAAAAAATTGGCCTGAGATGAAAATGCAGACTGTTGTTCGTTACTCAGCGGCCGTTTACAGTTACTTTGGTGGGAATGGGTTTAACCCGTTTGTCGGTTTTGGGTGGAAGCAGAAGACACTGAGTGTGGTTAACTGAATGTCTGAAACTTTGGTTTCATGTTTAGATGACTGGGGTGGGGCACTCAAGGGAGCACCAGATATTTCCTCTTTAGAGTGTCCTAATATGGTTCTGTGTATTGCAAATCATTTTTATTGTACAGTCACCCTACACAATATGGCATCGGGTTAAAAGATTGATATCATGGCATAAGTTAGCTGGTGTCTTGCAGAAATGCTGCCAGAAACTACAAATTATTACTGTTTCTGTCAATGTGGCCTAAAAACAACATTTTCTGTTGATTGTATAAACACAAAACGTTGTGTATGATGTCAACAAGTTCATTTAAAATATTCTTATCTTTCATATGAATTTAGACTCATGTGAAAAATCAATAATGTTAGTTATTTGTAAGAAATCATAAGGAAATTCCAAAATTGAACCTCCTTAGATATAACGTTCTATCTCAGAAGTCCATATAAAATCTCAAACATTGTGCTCCAGTTATTGTACCTTTATGCACATTAATTTTCTTAAAACAAATTCTTTCCAGTACTTTTTCTAAACTAAGAGCTCATGACTACCGTGGATTTTTATCACCTTACAGTTCTCTAAGACCTGCTCTTTAGATCTTATAGAGTAGACTAATACGAAGCTGTTATCTTTTTATTAAAGGCTTTTTGAACACACATGGATATGTGGGCATGGGATATTACATTTGCATGTACTTTGCGTTTTCCCCTCCCTATTTCCGTCTGTTTGGAGAGCTGTTGGTAATGATGCCATGTCAGTGCGCACGGCTGTTGGGGCCAGCCTTAGAGGCGTTCCTCCTGTGGATCAACAAGTGCAGGTCCCGGCACAGAGCCGCATTCATCGCAGGAGCTGGGAACCCGAAAGTTTCTGGCTGCCGAGCCGAAGTCGCACATTCAAAACCGAGGCTGACCGCCACCAAATCCGTTCTTCGAAAGAGGAAGGGAGTTTAAACTGCAAGGGAAATAAAAGCCGGTGAGTTTTTTTTTTTTTTTTTAAGATCTGCAATGCAGTAAGCAGCTAAACGTTTTTCAGCTTTCTAACGCAGGGATGCTCGACATGCGACGATCTTACTGACCTCCTTCACAGTTTGTACCCAGATGATCTCCATAGTCTACATGCAGACTTTGAAGGAATTCTGTTGTTTAAAGAATTGCATGTTGACAATGTTGCTGCTCATTAATCGCCTCAAACGTTCGCATTTACGTCTGAAACTGCATGTTACAACAAATATGTTTTTAGTGGTATTCTGTTCTCGTCACAGAGCTTTCGTTTTGCTTGAGCGCCGTTTGTTTGCATTCCCACTAAAACCTCGACTGTCGCTACCGTAACCTCACAGCTGATAACGCCAGTTTGTTTCCAGCCCGATATAAATCAACAATGACATTGTTTGCGGTTTCCCGCTATAGTGGCAGCCGGAGACCTCTCACTCGGATGGGCGCCTGTGCGCATATGACGCAAAAAAAGCTGAGTGTTTACCGACGCGGACGGATGTCCCGTCCCGAGATTGTTTTTATTTTGGGGGGTTTCTGACTAAAGCCTGTAGATCTAGACTGACAGGAGGAACTCCGGACAAACACGCTGCACCTGCGTGCACTGTTCCTGTCTCGGCATTTGCACATGAAAATGCCCCTATTGCTCTTTTCTGTGTATTGAGGAACAAAAGACGTGCTCGCCCACTTTGCATCCTTTTAACCGGACAGCAGGTTAAACGGGAGGGAGAGGGGACGCAGAGATACAGTGGATGCTATAAGCTCCATGTTCAGCGCGTTATCTGATGTCTCGGGTGTTAAAAGGTTAATTGGTTTGAAGCCTGCGGGGCAACCTGGCACCTTCAAGTATTTTCCATATAATATGAGGGAATTAGACAAAACCACAGTGGAGGATTATCTCTGCTCGGAAAATCCCCCAATTTAAATGAACAGGACTTCTCAATATCTATTAATGATTTAAAGTCAAGGGGATCTGATAAGTCTTTAAACAGTTTTATCATAAAGGAGTAGGTAATAAAATCCCTTTTCAAGCAAAAGTTGTTATAACAAATGTTTCAAGAGATAGAGCTGAGTAAGATTCTTACATGCACTATTAGTAGAGATACAGCGGTATTTTGCAGATGCGTGGATTCTAGGAGAAATAATGGTCCTTGGATCACGATTGTTTTCTTTATTATAAACTTTTTTTAAACTGGAGTATGTAATGATTGCATATAATCCGGGTAGAATATAGAGTGAATAAAGAACAATCTCATTAATCGGCCACATTTTCCACATCCATACATATCCAAAGTGAAGACTAACATAAACAGCTAAACAAAAACCATACCTTCCAACTCAGGCAATATTACTGTATGCATGCATTCAGTCATTTAGGTCGTCTCGCCTCACATATAAAACAATATTTAAAGTTAATTCTAACAAACTGTGTTACTTTAACACTGTTCAGTCCTGCCGAGCAAAGCAACTGGTATTAGTATCTATCAGTAAAATGTTTTGAAGTACATTAACCCTTGAAATGTGGTGTTTTGGAGTGAGCATCAATAGACAGCTGCACATCTTAATATGCTCCAGGTGTCCCCCATATATTCCTACATTCATCTTAACTTTTTCTTTCTCCATTCTCTTTGACTTTGGGCCAATTATCCGCAGTCTTCCGCTCAGACAGATGTCTGACACGGTCACATTTCACTGCTCTCCGGCGTGCTGTGTCACCCAGTGGTGGGTGACCCTCTTTTTAACCTCAGTTGGACCATTTCGCAGGCGTCAAACCTCCCGCTGATCCCTGCACACAATTGGGTCTGTGGGCGGACAAGTCAGGGAGGGGCAACAGCGGGGTTAAGCCACTCGTGTTCTGGTTTTGATCTATCACCTCTCACCTCTGATCTCTCCCAATGTGGTGGGCTGACAGTTAGCTGAGAGAGACATTGCAGCAATAAGCTGTGAATGCAGGGCGCGCAAGGGTGAACATATCAGAGGTCCATCAGGCTTAGAGGAATCACAGCGGGTTATGGGCATACCAGAGGGCTCGAGACTGCTACTTCTGTCGTCTGGCATGCTGTTTCATGTCTGCACGTATACACACACTGCATTTGAATTTATGTATTTGTTTCTGCGTTATAGGATTCATATGTTGTAAGCTGACGTGTTCAGGGCTTTTCTTTGATCATCTGGGTGGCGACAGCTGACGGCTTACCCTCTTCTTTTTTCACCTTCTCAGAAGAGACATTGGGATTTGTTGTGTTTTTCAAAAACAAGTATGTTAGGGGAAAAATGTCTTTCAAGGGGTATCAGGTTTCCCACACTGACCGGTGCTTTATCTTGGAACGCCCAGAACGCTCCGGAAATACACCCTGTTTGGGTTTCTCAATCCCACTTCCTTATGTCCAAGCTGCACTCTGTGCCAGTGAGGCTAATGTAAACATTTATTGTGCTGCCCCCGGAGTGCACATCAATCACAGATAAGTCCACTATTTTTGACACAATAACAGAGAGCTGTTATTAACCCGCGAAAGCTGTGTTTTAACAAGTTAACCGCATTAGGATTCTTCGGGATCTGGTAGCATACCATAAGTGGGTTTATGTTTTATTAGTTCTGGGGGTCCACACAAGTAAAATAAGCCGTTCTTTATGCAACAGGAGATTGCTCCTTAAAAAACCACCAACATTAAGCCTTTTAATATGAATGTGTGTTACAGAAAATAATGAGTTATTGTCATGTTTCTGCAGGATCTGCCCCAGTCAGAGGTGGAGTGTGTAACCCCCCAGTGGTCTGTGGTCTTCTCCCAAAGTTGAAAAATGAGTGTAAGCACCAGTGACCTGGAGGACTTGTGGGAGTCATTTGGAGAACTGAACTTCTCTGAAACCTTTAGCAACATCACAAGCGTGGATGCAATGATGTGTGCCACGACGTTCAACCGCAGAGCTCTGCTGTACTCCATGTGTGTGCTCTACACCTTCATCTTCATCGTCGGCCTGGCGGCCAACGCTCTGGTTCTGTGGGTGAACGTCCGGGCTCAGAGAGACTCCACCCCTCGCCACGAAACCCACATGTACATCGCTCACCTCGCCGTCGCGGATCTGTGTGTGTGCGCCACTCTTCCCATATGGGTGAGCTCCCTGGCCCAGCATGGCCACTGGCCATTTGGCGAAGCGGCGTGTAAGCTCACGCACCTGCTGCTCTCCGTCAACCTCTTTGGCAGCATCTTCTTTCTGGCCTGCATGAGCGTGGACCGCTACATAAGCGTGGCGCTGCACCGGGACGAGGGAGGCGCCCGCAGGAAGCTGATCCGCCGCTGTGTATGCGTGGGGGTGTGGCTTCTGGCCCTGGTGGCCTCCCTGCCAGACACTTACTTCCTGCACGTCATGAAGTCGTCACATGGGGACACCATGCTGTGCAGGCCTGTGTATCCAGAGGAGAACTCCAGGGAATGGATGGTGGGAGTGCAGCTGACCTTTATCCTGCTGGGCTTTGTGCTCCCCTTTCCGGTCATTGCGATTTTTTATGCCCTGCTCGCCAGAGCTTTCGCCCGCTCCCCTTCTCCATCATCATCCTCCCCGGTGGAGCAAGAGCGTCGTGTGAGTCGCAGGGTGATTCTGGCCTACATCGTGGTTTTCCTGGCCTGTTGGGGGCCATACCATGCTGTCCTCCTGGCTGACGCCTTGTCCCAGCTGGGCGTGGTACCTCTGACTTGCGGCCTGGAGAATGTGATCTATGTGGCCTTACACCTCACACAGTGCCTGTCCCTGCTCCACTGCTGCTTCAACCCCATCCTCTACAACTTCATCAACAGAAACTACCGCTACGAGCTCATGAAGGCCTTCATTTTCAAATATTCCACTCGGACGGGATTGGCACGCCTCATCGAAACTTCTAACATGTCCGACACTGAGTACTCTCCTGTAGCTGTGGAGAACCCACCGCAGACCTAAAAGACAAAAACATAAATGACTCTAAAGCAGTGGGAAGTTCTGCCCTGCCCAAACTAATCCAGCAACATTTTTACAGAAATCTGCTTTAGTGCTAGAAAAAAAAAATCTAAATGGCCATCTCTGACTTTAAAGCACTTAAAACAGCTTGTCACAACAGTTGATTTTAAAATCATATAGACATATTCATTATAGTTGTAAAGCCAAAACAAAGACTGCAAACTGAATGAAATAATTGCTTTTACTATGTAAGTGTGAATGTATTCTATGTGAGTTTGTGTGATTGTATGCGTATGTGTGTGTATGTATATCATAAGTAATGTATAATAATAGTAACAGCTGAGTAATATCCTTTTATCTAGTTGTATTTATATAGTTTTAAACTTTTTTTTGCTGCCTTTCATGTTGTAATGTAAAGTCTTCACACACTGATGTCTGCTCAGTGCTCCATATCGCACAACACTGCCTCATCATTCCTAGCTGAGCCACTGACTGGCTCTGTGCTTTAGTCCTGCTGTCACATTATGAATCATAACCTCATGTTGCATCAGCTGAAGCCTCCAGAAACATTATTCAAGAAGAAGCCAATTAGATTAGTCTTTTTTTTTTCATGTAGCACGCTCATTTGCTGTTTTGCTTCCTACGAAAATGATAAGAATGATATCAATCACATGTCTACAAAGTAAACAGGATGCTGCAGGAAGATGTTAATTGGTTTATTTTGGCTTAGCTTAGCTTAGCCTACTGGGATCATTCCATCAGTATCTCAAATTCTTCTTGTCGATCTAAATGTCTCAAAACATCGTCTGGAGGCTGCAGCTATGACTACTGATCCTGAAAAGCAAAGAAATAGAGCTCCAGACTTCCCTGATGGAGATTTTATTGGTTAAGGCATTTTTCTCTGCTGTGTACTTAATTTATATTAGTACCATAGTGAAAGAGATACACACATATCTGTCTCGTTAATTTTTCTATCAGCATGCGGGCCACAGACAGCTCAGTCTTTACAAGAAAATAAGAAGAATAAATTGTTTAACTTCTTTAATCCAGGCAGCAGCTGTGGTGTGCAACATATTAGAGAACAACTTACAAAAAAAAAAAACATCAATGCATTGTGAGTAGTATGCGCATGTGTGGCTACACCAAAGCTTGACACAAACAGATGGAGTTTTATGTGTCGTAAACTTTGATTCGAACACTTTGCTCACTTTATTATTTTGTCTCGCTGACACAGAGCGTTGTGGGTCCTACGAATTGTTACACACGATTGTACTCTGAAAAGATTCCATGTTGTGATTAGAAGAGAGTGGAGCCTAACAAGTCTCTACAAGAATTGAGGTGTTCCTTTTGACTTTGTAATGTATTTTGTGTGTTTTGTTATATATTAAATATACAGAAAATGTTTTGCCTCTTTGGTTTTAAGTGATCCTAGAGCTTTATACCCTGCAGACCTTGAGAACTTTAAAATACAGTAAGTAACTCTTTCAGTACCTTCATGCACATTTATGAGACATTTCATGTCTTTATGGCTTGTGTTTAAAAAATGATTTTCCTGTTAAGTTTTTGTATGCAAATAACACAAAACAAGGGCGTGAAATTTCAGCCGAAAAAACAAACAGCAACAAACTAACCGCCACTCTTACTTAGTGATTCATTCCAACAACCCTATTAAATTTTGTTGAAGTGTAAGTTAAAGTTTTGGACCATTCAGTGTAAAAGAGAGCACATTTTCCAGTCACTGACTCTGTAAGGCAACTAGGGATGAGGCATGTTGTTCCTGCTTGTATTGGGACAGCAGCATTCTGTGTGGGTTTTTTTTTCTCCCCGGAAAGTTCAGGGAGAAGACTGGCATTCATAAAGTGAAACTTTCTGATGTTTTTTTATGTGTTTTTACTATGAAACAACACAAGACATAACCATTAGACCAACCCAGAATAATACACATGTGCTTGGCGCCTGTTATTACTTTCAACTACCTCTATATAATTACCTTATGGAGATGAAACTCAGACTAGTTTAACAATTTACTGTTGCGGGAGGTACCAAACCCTGTCTGTTACCCTTAGGGTACATGACAAAACACCACTCAGTGAAGCCAGTTGTCAAGACGTCTGCATCATCATCAACTCATAACCGGTGTGATACTGAATGTAATGAAGGCCACCATTCCAACGGCCAAAAAACACATCTGGGCAGATGAATGTGTTGAACTCTTAGGGAGAATATTCCAGCCAAGTTCAACCAATATGTTGACACAGCTTTCTCAATGTTTGCCTCTTTTTTCGCACATATTTCCACACCTCCTTGTTTTAAAATAATTTAACAACATTCAATCACGTGAAAAGAAGATAAACGGTGTATCAGTTCGGGACGCGGAAAGAAAACCCTTTTACATTATGCAAATGAAACCTCTGTGGATCAGCAACACGTGACTCTTTTCACCATGCCGTCACCATTTATCACTGTGGGGAAAACAATCTAAAGCCCACCATCTTGATCCTTTTCCTTTTCAGTCACTATCTTTTAGATGTGTTTTTCATCTTACGGTCATTATGTTGATGTATGACTTAGTTTAAACAAGCTTTAGCTGTTGAACCTCATAATTAACTTTTTGACACCTTGGTATGGGAACTGTAAGGTGTTTAGGTTCTGTGGTTGCAAAACGAACTCAAATTATCACCACAACCAAAGGCTGCATATATATGATTTTAAAGTCTGGTAAGAGTCATTTAACCTTTTTATTATATTCAGATCAATAGAATATTCTTGTAAGTGCTTTTTACTTTTTTTCTGCTACCCAACTTGTTGCCTACATATATTTTGACTTTTGGCTTCCTTTCGGGGCCTTTAGCCACATCAACATTACCCTTGAGACGGTACAGTCGTCTGAAAGCTGTGCTAAAGGTTGGAAATGGCAAATGCAGTGTTCCTTGCTGAATCACTTGCACAGTCAGACCACTCTGTTGCACTTTACTCTGATAAGGAAGCTGTGCAGGGAATTTCGAAGGTCAGACTAAGCGAGCGACCTGCTAATGATACCCTCCTGGCTTCCTCTCCCATTCAGACGCAGCCTTGATCTCGCAGCTCTCCTGGTGGGTGTTGGTCTCCTGCTCCTTTCTTGTGTGAATTATTCTCCTGACACAAGACTTTTCCTTTTGACCCTGTCAATACCTTCCGATGGTTCTTTTACAGGTCAGTGAACCACCACTAACTAGCTCACATGTAGTGAATGCATAGGCTTTGTTCTCACTGGAATGCTGGTTCATTTGCGTTAGACAATCACGCTGCAAGCAGTTCCAACAGAAAGAATTATGAGCCCTAATTAAGCCCTGGTGCTTGAAAAACGTTGGGGTGCTTTAACTTGATTAAATCCAAACATGTTTTGGATTATCAACTGAAAAATAAATAATATAAAAATGGAGACAGAAAAATCCTCGGCAGGACAGAGTGGAAAAATTTATTTCTGTATGTGAGGGGGTGAATTATTCTTCTGAGTTATGTGAAGACATATGTATATACAGATTCTTATGTGACAGCAAGAAATGATCTCAGTATCACATACACACACATACACTGAAGATTTATGCATGAATATATGCGGAATATGTAATCCTGTTGGGATTTTTTATTGTAATTCAGATCAGCTCCCACAGTGACCCATCTGGACTTACAATGGATGGCTGAATTATGTTAACAACACAACTGAATGATTGCACTAAACTGGTGTGGAGGAAGATGTGGGACAGAGAAGCTTTAAATCTTATGAGATTGATTTGGCCAAAAAATTATGGTTGTTGATAATTTTCCTGATTCATATTGGGATTTGTCCAATGCTTGAATGAACATGTCTTGATTATGTTAATTCTAAATGTAATCTGGAAGCTTCCCATGTGCTTCAAACACAATTCATGTAACATATTCATTAAGATGTATACTTCTCTGTTGGGGAACAGTTTGTCATTTTTGCTGCTCCACAAATGCAGCAAACTACTGCGCTGTGTCCTTTTAGCACTTTGCCACAAAGTGCAGCTTGCTGTCACTAGTCTCTACGACTCCACCAAAAGATTTACAGGAAAAAAAGCTATGACAGCTTTTCATTTAAAAATAAGTTAGCAGAGCATTATTAATGGGGGCTCTCTCCTTTAGTTTGATTTAATAAGCCCAGGTAATGAGCCAGGAAGTCTGTTAATGGAGTGTTTTTTCACTGCATGATGATATCCGTCTTACGAAGAGATAACAATAATGAATTATGAAACAAAGAGGAGGTAAAGAAGTGGGGGGTAATGTAAAGCATGAACATTCTGCAGCACTGTCCACAAGAGGAGTAGATTAAAAAAAAAGTATAGCCATTCATCAACTTATTTTTAGACAAGCCAGTGTGCTAATGAAACTATTATGTTGTTTCTGGATCTTTTCCTAGGCATTTAAAAAAAAGTTAAACTCTCAGAGAATCTTAAGTTTGCTTTGTTCAGCGTGGCGGGGATTTAACACAAAGATTTACGGTGAATCAAGAGTTCTGAATTATTAATGAAAGTAAAACAGGAGGACTGCTGCTGTTTGTGCTCAGAGGGAGTTTTAGGTGCAGATATGAAGAAAAATCGGAGGACTGAGTTAGTTTTGCTCTCCATACTGCCAGGTTGAGAAAACATGCGTTATGTCCAGAGATTGGGCAGAGGATCTTTTTTAAAAAGAGAAAGACAATAAAGAAAAAGAGCACTTGGCCCGATTGTGGGATTAGGCAGCACTGGATGTATGCAGTGATTTGTAACGTCATGGCTTATTTAACTTGTCCTGATACTTGTCCTGATAGCTGGAATACATAAGCAGAATCAGAGGAATTACCACAGTTGGAGTTTATTTTGCTTTCTTTAGGATTAATGATCATACAGCAAAGGTCTTTAAGATGTGGTCTGTTTGCTCAAGAGTCTCTGGGTCTGAAAACTTCAAGAGGCGGCTTCCCATTTGTGTTTTAGTGAGTTTAATATAAATTATACACACAAGAAAAACAAAGCATCGGACAAACAAAAAGCAACCCTAACCTTGATAGGTATCTGTGATGCATAGTTTACTTTTTATTTGCCAAGGATTTGATATATCAGAGGCAAAGATCTCTGCCTCCACAGCACAATTACCCAACACAATGGAGCTTAATCACATTTCAGTGTGAACACAATGGGTTGTATAGATTATCCAGAGTTAACTGGGACACAAACAATATTCTTTTTGTTCCCTTTTTTTTTTTTTAGCTGTGCAGGAATACTGAAACCTTTTTGAAAAAAAATGAATGGCTAAAAATTACAAAAAGTAAGTAGTATCAAAATATGTGTAAATTAGACAATAGATCCACTGTCAGATAGAAAAAAAACCTGCCCTTGCCTCTGTTTGGTTTTCGCTCATAGTTACAGCTGGCTGTATAACCACTAATTGTTTCACCATGTTCACCTGCTGCTTGTCTGCCGGCCAGCTGGCAGAGGATGGGTTATTCAACTGCTGTTGTACCGTACTCCCAAAACGCACCGCCATTAAAACCCACCCGTCCCGGGACAGTCGAATCCCATGAGGACTCAGACTGCATTGTTTAGAATGGTTAGATGGCGGATGGTTACGGCCGATGTTTATGTCTGAAGTTTTATTTGGTGGTTTTGTGGCTCTGTTTGTCACAGCTGAAAAGAGACTGGAGCTGAGGCCTTTTGCAGATGAAGTTTGTCTCCTTAGATGTGGTTTACATTGTGAAATAGTCTAGATCAGCTCAAAAACATGAACATTTCATACATGTTCCATATTGGTTTGAATTTATAAAGTTGTAAAAACACAATAGAAATAGATTTAAGAACAATTAGGCCTGGTCTGTTCTGTTTCTTTGAGTGTTGATATCTCACAATCCTTGGGTTTTTAAACTGACTAAAAAAATTTAAGTCAAAGACAGTTGCAGAGACTGGTGATAATGATTACTTTTTTGCAGTCATGTTTATCTAAAGTGACTTTTGATAAAAGTTGTGAGAAAATCACAATGAGGAAGACGTGAGGTTCAGCACTTTGTCTACGAATCCTTAAACATGTGGGAAGGCCGAGGTTGAAAAAGAACCTGCTGACTGAAAACTCTCTCTGCAAAATGCAATTGACTGAAAGTGATCTATTTTTAAACATGCTAACTGCAAAAACATCCTAACTTTTTCAAAGATTTGAGTTTCGGAAAAAATGCGATACATCCAGCTCTTAAACTTATTGTGCTCTGTAGTGGAGAAAGTAGCAAGGCTGTTCCTTTGGGAGAAATCATATGTTTGACCAAACAGATTGGACATGAGTGTTTAAAAAAATAGGCTTCACATTCACCCTGAATTATGGGATGTGATCTTCTGTGCCATTGCCCACCACTCTTTGCCTGTTGTCCAAAGCCTCA